CAGGGCAGACAGGGAACGGGTTGTCAAACACAGGATTAAGTCTTGGTTGGCGTGACTTTCAAGAAAAGAAAAAAACACTTGCAAACTGGTTCTGCAAAAGCTCAATGAACGGCAGATTATCTGCTTAAGTGTTAATGTGTGTTAACACTACTCTGCTGTTTCTACAACACATGCTCTGTTCCCATTAGCGCTACCTGCTGCTGCTGCTGCTATTCTTAACTTGTACTACTGTAACTCAGAGACTTAACATTAAAGTGTGACTTATTAATAGTAAAAAGGAGGTTCCTATACTCTATGTTTCACAAACTATTTTTGTGTTTGAAAAATACTTTATACAAATGCTTTTGCTTATTGAATCTACTTATTCCACCTTTTACTGTTTAGCCCTAGGCAACATCTGTATGCGACATCTATATAAATAAACATAGAAACATGGTAGAGACAACAGGATGTACCATACCTGCAACAAACGTTAAGCCTGGTTTCACAAGCTGTGCAGGTTTAACTGCCACACAAACCAGTTGTATTGTAAAATCACAAGCATATCCTATCACAGAGTTCACAACATGTAACCGTATATTGCACAAACCGTAATTCTAAATTCATTCTGGCAACAAACATCTGTCATTATCTATTTAAGAAGGCATTTGAACAGTTGCAAATAATAGTGTTAAGCTTTCTTACCCAAATGTTTTCATAATCATTCATTAAATGGGCCATCAGCAACAAAATAGAGTACCATGAAATTGTATTCTATGAATTGTATCTTTTTGTCCATGTAAATGTTATCTGTATTGAGCCTATCTATCCAGAACATTCTCCAAACACTGTGGGGAGAGCCCCTGCACAAGATCATCTGCCCCAAACAAGCAGCCCACGTCTTTAAAATTGGTCAAAAGGGGAAAACATTTCAATAATGAGCCGCAGAATCTTCCGGTTTGACCTAGAAAGCTGGCAAAGCAACAACGTACATGTCATACTTCTCTCTCTCTCTGTGTGTCTGCAGCTATTAGCCATAAGGCAGCAAAGGTGAATAATATCCGACTCCACATGATACACCATTTACTGAAATTGACATTGGACAGCGGTGACCCATGGTGAGTCAGAGGCCATTGTCAAAACCTACACACTGATAATACACCCTGTGGAAGTACGGAATACATTGCCGTATTTGTATTAGTGCTCCGGCTGACAGGTTTTTGCCCAATTATAGAGGGAAAGGGATGAAGCTAGATACGGCGGGCCACTAGAACAGAACCTAATGAGGACGTGGTATGATTGCTACGGGACTGGATAGACACGCGCTCATTTTGTGCCCACAGTGAGCGCATTCGATTGGTAGAGAACGGCCGAGTTGAAGTGGCACAGAGCGATAGAGATGGATGGGGAGAGATAATGGAAGTGAGAAGGATTGATTCCTCACTCAGTGTGAGAGCATGTGGGAGGAGATGAGATGTTGAGACTGAAAGTAGGAAAAAGAGAGATGGATACAGAAAGTAAGTGAGTAGTCAGTCCATCCAGTCAACTACCCTCGCTCTCGCTTTTTTATCCGTCCATCCATCCAACTAATCACGCCGCAGCTAGCAGAGGCAGAGCTGGGGGAATCGTCCATAGTGATACAAGTCCTCAAAGTATAGTCCCCCCTGCATGCAACACATTAAAGCCTGTAATACAACCAACACTTTGTGAAGGCCGTGCAGTGTAGCGTTTCACTGGAGGGAGAACAAAACCTGGAAAACAATGCCCAACACAAAACGGCAAGGGAGTGCTCAACAAGAGACCATTTCCATTCAGACATTTAATGGATCCGTGTGGATAGCTGTTCATTGTACCAGACTGAAAAGAGACGTAGCTATCCTTTACATCCACATATAGGAATACATCCTTACGTAATCAGTGGTGCACTTTGTGAGAAAGGTTGGTCGGTGAATCCCACAGAAGCAGTACACGATCCATTTAGCGTATATCACTGTACACAAAAAACATTTTTTGAAGTTTGAGGTACAATTCCACTCCTCTCCCTCCTGTTAGGAATATGACTATAAATGCTACTTTGCCGCAGACACTGTGACTCTATGCCATCCAGAGGTTGCGCTACACTTTTTCGCTGCCCGTCATTTTGACGGACAGGATCGTAAAACTTCCGTCAAAATCCAGAATTACCCGTCGGCCTTTACACAACTCTGACGAGGGGGGGGGGAGGGAAGCATGCTCGTGAACTGTCAACGGGGGGGGCAGTTCACATGTGCCGTGTTATGCATGGCTGCTGCACCTCGCGGGAGCGTGCACAGCGTAAAGCCAAAACTCGGACATTTCAATGATTTGTACGGCACAGTTAGTTTGGAAACGGTATGATTTCCTTTTTGGAGGGCAGGCATAACACCGGAGCCTCGCTGCGGGGAAACTTTGGCGCTGTTCCGAGTTTGTTCTAATCTGTCAAAATGACGGAGTGCTTTCAGATTTGTCCGTCATTGTTAAAAAAAATCCGTCAGACGGAAAATATTTGGTTAACGCGACCTCTGATGCCATCTGTACTGACACTCACTGCCCGGTGCTGAGGGTGTCTGAGTGTGATTGGAATATTTTATACTGCGATGCTCTCTGTCCAAGTGTGACACACATGTATCTGCTTTTAAAGTACAAAGAATACTGCAAATACATGTTTTAGGTGGTTTTGTTAAGCCTTATGTATCAGTGCAAAATACAGTCTCTTTCCATAGCTTAAAGGCTCCAAGATAAAAAAATAAAACGCTTTTAATAAGCCTGAAACTGAACATGGCCTCTGTTGACTTTGCATGTAGAGGAACACGTGATATGGAACCATCATGGATTTAAATCGGATCCAATTACAAACATGTTTAACTGAAATCAATATATCTTACTATCTAAGATCATATCTGGCATAAATACTTGGCTTGATCCAGTGCATTCCCACAGTTTATATAAAACATTACAAATAAAAACATATATTTAAGTGCAGTGTCATTGGTCATCCACTGACTGTGATGACCAATGGTGTTACTTGAACGCCAGCACTTCATTTATTTTTGCTTTCTGTCTGATCTCTCATTATATTCCTTTCTTCTACTTGCCATTATCATCTCCAGCACTCTTCCCTGGTGTATTAGCATCACTCTTTAAACTATCTCTCCTTCCTGGTCTCTCTCCCCCTCCCTCTTCATACTTGTGTGAACATAGTAGTGTCTGTATCTGTGCGTGCGTGCAAGTGTGTGTGTGTGTGGGAGGAGGGAGGAGAGCAGCATCTCTGGCTGGAGGAGGAGGTGAGAGAGAAAGAAGCTACAGAGGGAAAGAGAGAGAGAGAAGCACAGAATTTACTGGAACAAAACACGCCGTTTCAATCGCATACTGTAGATAAGAGCCGCCTACTCACCATGTTCTATCTAAAGGCAGATTATTCCTCATTTTAACAATATATTATATTATAATCCCTAAGTATATTGCATTATTTATAACCTAGGACAACGAGAACATTATAATTTTGATTTTGCCACCCAAAGTAACTACATTAGAGCTGCTATTCCCACCATCTGTCGAGTGTCTAGATAGATTAACTCCATATCTCAAGTAGGTGGAATTCACTTTTTAGTTACTAGGAAAGACCGGTTTACTTCATTTTGGATAATAGTACTAACAAATGGCAGTGTTTTTTCCTTGCCAACAGATATTAGTGATTAAGGTATACAACAAATGCTCAATAAAATGGGAGGGAGTTTTGATTTCTTATGGGGGTCCAGTGTTTCCCCTGGGATGGAGTCATAGCAGCGGTGCTAAGGCACGCGGGCCCAGCAAAATGTGAGCATGGATGCTATGGAGCGTGTGGAATTTGTTAGTGTGTGTGCGTGCGAAGTGCGCCCTGCCAATCTGTTTCTATGTGTCAGCCAGCACAAGAAAGGCTCTTGAGGCCTAGTAAATACAGAGGCAATGTCTCAAGATTTAGCAAAATACACCTTTATTGAACATACAGTAACACAAATACTACAAATCCACATAACAAACAATCAAAAAGGGTCTGTGCCTCCAACATGCATTTCCCCCTCTCTACCTCCACCTCCCTCCGTCCTCCACCTCCTTTTCTTTTTTGGTGGATGTGGTCATTTATTAGCTGCAGTTACAGGGGAATACACACACGCAGGATAATTGAATGCTCTAGTCTATGGGATCGTATAATTCTCCGCCAATCTCCAGAACTGCTGTGTAGTACAAAATAATAATCACTGGACACATTTGGCTAGCTAAACAGTTTAGTTACAGTGATTGTGTAGTGGATTAACTAATAAACTATTTTAGAAAATAAAACAAAACTTCCATTTCGAATTACAAAAACCTATAATTAAAAGAAACTATTCTTGAGGTGATTGTGTAAAGTTATCTGTCTGTTTCAACTTGCTGTTGTCTGTCTTGTCAGGCAGATTTCCTTCAGCTCTGAAATGTACAGCTTTCCCGCGTATCGGTGGCGCGCAAAGTTGCCGCGAGCACTAGGGCGCCACTTATTATTTTTTTAAATATGTTGGTACCTGGCTGCGCCGCTGCTATTTGTATATAGGGGAAACACTGGAGTCACTTTTTCAATATACTACGACTGCACATGCATAGCCACAGGAGGTTTGATGAAGAAAAAAGCAAGGAAATACATGTAAGAGATATACAATTGCATGGAAATAGGAAAAAGTGGCTGGTCATTAAGAGGGCATGTAAAAAGGAATGTCTTCTGATAGAAATGTAACAGTAGCCAAATGTCTATCGTCAGCAAAATTCATCCAAAGGTGGAAACAATGACACAGACTAATATTGGTGTTCTTTCTCCTGTAAACGCTCTGTAATAAAAGGGTCATTTACTTCAAAAGTGGCATTTTTTGGGAAGAATAAGTGCATCAGAAGAACAGTTTCCTTGTCAACTACAACCAGACGAATTGACCCCAAACTGGACAAATCCAGCTTATTGTCACCCTCAAACCCAACTGAGACATTTGGATACTCACTGATGATTCTTTGTTGAAGCTAGTAACCTCAGAGACACAGGCTCCCAGGTGACCCTGAAACAGAGACAGGTACTTATTAAGATAAAAAAAAGATTAACATATAATACATCCCTTTGTATTCCAAAATGTTCTATATCTTGGCAGATACGTGCATTTTTTTAAAGGATTGGTAACAAATTACAATCCTTTTCCCCAACTGAACTCGACACTCAGGGGGGACTTGGTTCTGGCACAGAGGTTTGCCAAATACACAGTCTTCTCATTTGCTAAAAGCATTCAAGAAAACATTCAGGTAGTAGCTTCTCATGTTAAGCCCGAAAGTCGCTTTCCCCTAATAAAATGACAAAATTCTCCCAGGTCATATCATATGACTGAGAGTTTTTGTAGTTCCAACAACTCTAACAGAGCTAAACATCTTCTCTCGAGCGATCACATCACACCAACTGGATTGATAGTAATAACCAGCTAATAATAACACTTTCAGCTCTACAATAAGCAGAAACCTGACCAGTATCCGTACTAACTGTGTTGCCTGAACTACAACATCCAACATATTACAATGCTAACAGGACAGATTGTAATATTCCTCAAGACAAAACCTGTCCAAGATCACTGAAAAGTCAGAATTTGGTTTAGGTTTCAGGAAATAGGTCCGTCTTTGGAGACTGGTTTTATTTGATACCCTTACCTAAAAGGCTAAACCCCCATGAGAACAATGGCCCACAACAGAGTCATGATGAAAAACATGGGAAAAAGAGCCGCCGCCAACAACAAGAGCCTTGGCTTTCCCTTTCAGATCGCAAATTCTGAACTGTAACCCAGGGAAAAGTGTTCATGACTAAACGACTGCCTGCTTTTGTTCCATTTCATCTTGTTATAATGGCTGAAGGAGACACTGCATATCCCTACAAAATATGGGCCACACTCCCCATCTTTTGCACAGTGACATAAGATCTCTCAGCTTGTTAAATCAGCTTTAAAAGCCTCTGAGAAAACATATCAGTGTTGATGGAGTATCTAAAAATAGTTGCGTTTATCCAAGTTCAGAGACCATCACAAGCCCACTAACAGGACTCTGAAACTCATCCTCAGGACTGTAATGATGCATAGAGCCTAATTGTCACGGTCTAATGCATGTCATCCATTAGAGATGATACAGAAGGAACTGGTGCTCATAGCCAGCTTGTGCGAAAGCACAAAAGAAGAGTGCAAAGTGAAAAAACACAAACCTGCGAGAAAAAACATGCATGCTAACCAGAACAGTTAGTGACAAAGGTTGACAAGGGTGCAGGGAAAAGTGTATTCACAGCTCAAATATCAGGCAGTTCTTTCGAAACACACACCAACACACACTTTTTGTATCCTTCCCTCTTGGCTACATTTCCTGGAGAAATAGCAGCAGCAGCAGTCGTCAACTCTTCAGACTATATATACGTTTAATCTGTGAGGTCTTGTGAATTCCTTTAATTTGTACTTATCACAATCAACTTTAATATCTTGCTTTCAACCAGATATCACCAATCCAGTAACTATCGTGTTGGCCACAATCAGTGTTTCCGCCAGACCAGGGCTGAGAGGGCGTCCACCCCGAGAGCGAGAACGTTGTGTCACGTGACTTGAATTTTGAATTGAGCCATCCCTTATAGATACTATCTCTTTACGTATTCACACACAATAGTAACGTGTGTCAATACATGATACATCATTAACCTAGTATCAAATCACTGCTGCCGACAGGGCATGCCCTTCTGGCATGGTCCTTGGAAAATGCGGCGGTATTTTTTTTTTTGTTCCGTCACAGGAACACGCTTTGCTGGCGGCGAAAAGAATCCCACCAGACTCCTTTGCCCCTCCAACAGAGGGATGTCCTTTTTCCTTTTCTTCATTTCAAGCAATAAAAATCTTCTCTTGAAAAAAAATATGTGGTTGTGTAGTGGATTAACTAATAAAACAAAACTTCCATTTCGAATTACAAAAACCTATAATTAAAAGAAACTATACTTGAGGTGATTGTGTCCAAATAAAGTTATCTTGTCTGCTTCAACTTGCTGTTGTCTGTCTTGTCGAGAGGGGTCTGCCTGCAGACCTCCACTCTCAGGACAGTTCTGGTGCAGACCTTCACTCTGAGGACACCTCCACTCTCAGGACAGGAAGTGCACGCTAAGAATTCCAAAATAAAATCACCACTATCAGTACAGTGCCACTTTCCAAACAAGAAATGCACGCAAATACAAAATAAAATCTGATCGGGACGGATCGTGACACTTATTATATACATATGTATATATCTATATATATATATATAGATATATACATATGTATATATCTATATATATATATATATAGATATATACATATGTATATATCTATATATATATATAGATATATACGGACACCTTGTATTGTAGTTACTATCAGTACAGCCGCAGCGCCACTTTCCGAACAGGAAATGCACGCAAATATAAAATAAAATCGTACTGACACTTATATATAGCATGCATATATATATATATATTTATTTATATATTTATTTATATATATAAATACGACATCTTGTATTTTAGTTACACCCGCTAGACAACAGTGGAAGGTTCGAGAAACAACCGTGTTTGCCGGGTGACGGTGCGTCTTGGTCACGCCACTTATTATTATTTTAATAAAAAACTGCCCCTTAGCAGTAGGGATGGGAATTTGAAAGCAAATGTATATTCGACCCCCAAAAAACGGTTAACCGAAATGTACATATCCTATAAAAAAAAATTGGGTCAAAAAAAAGAATAACGGTTTTTTTTTGGAAATAAATAAATACATGTTCAAATAAGTATAAAAACCAAGTCGAATTTGTCAAATGTATTTAACTGGTGATCACAGTTTGACAGCTATAGGCCTACAGCTTTCGTTACGTCATTTACAATTTGTATGGACTTGACTTGATGTGATTGACAGCTTAATTGAACCAGCTCCATGAAAAACGAATTCATAAATACAGAAAAATTAACCGGTTAAGTATTATTAACATAAACTGGGCTGGCATAATATATTTTTTATGGAAGGTCAAGTCCCTTGTTTGACCAACCTTGAAAAAGGTCTTAAATTGGAGATTCTCTTCAGCGTTTTCTCTTCATTGTCTCATTCAGTAACTGAGATTATAACACACTTGAGTTACATATTTAGTTCCGAGGATATCATCTTGGAAAAAAGTGTTTAACAGCTAGTCTCCAAAGTCATGCCCACTAGCAATTTCAATCATAAATCAACACCTGGTAATGATTCAGGAATTTGTTTAGCAGAGGTGGTAAGTGACGGACACGTATAACAAATCGCTTCCTGTCATCTGCTGAGATTAATTGGACAAAAACTGAAAAAGGTCATTAGTTAAGTCACTGGAGGAAGGAGTAAAGAGTTTTCTGAATCATTACATGTGTTTATACTTTACTGATTGATGGTGCCTCTGCCCTTTATTCTGAAGGTTAATGTCATATTTTGTAGATTATTTCCTCTGACGTTTGCGAGGAGGGCATATCGGCAAATACCAAGATACAAAGTTCTATGTATCGAATAGGCTGTATATTCAAGGTCACCTATTATGCAAAATCTACTTTTCCATGTCTCTTCTACATCAACATGTGTCCCCTCTTCTTCATGTCTCTTCTACATCAACATGTGTCCCCTCTTCTTCATGTCTCTTCTACATCAACATGTGTCCCCTCTTCTTCATGTCTCTTCTACATCAACATGTGTCCCCTCTTCTTCATGTCTCTTCTACATCAACATGTGTCCCCTCTTCTTCATGTCTCTTCTACATCAACATGTGTCCCCTCTTCTTCATGTCTCTTCTACATCAACATGTGTCCCCTCTTCTTCATGTCTCTTCTACATCAACATGTGTCCCCTCTGTGTAAAGAGACTCTGAAAGTTTCAGGAACAAAGATTCTCTCACTTTCTGTCCTGATCCATTTCTATAAAAACCTGTCTGAAAATGAGCCGATCAGATTTTGGCCACTTTATGATGTCATAACGATGTTTTGTCTTGTGTCACCATTAGCCAATCACCAACCAAGGTAACCCCCCACCCCCCCCTTATCACCTGAATCTCCTCCTAGAGCACCGTTGTGTTCTTTGTAACCAAATCTCTCTCAGAGGGGCGTGGGGAAGGGCTCCTTAGTTTCATCTAAAGTAAGAGACACAGAATCAGCACTTTGGAAACAGGGCTGAAACAGAGGGGATTATGGGATGCTACATTGATCTGTTTGGTATTTCGAGCCAAACGCCTCAGAGACATGTTTTGTATATATCTGTGACCTATATAAAGTTATGAAAAACAGTATAATAGGGGACCTTTAACATACTATACTACGTTACTCAATGATATGCCTAAAAAACTGTGCTGAAACTGCAAATCAACGTGTTGTCCAATAAAAAGCAGCTTCAGGATGATCACCCATTTGAGACAGAAAGAAATGCATTTCCTCTACTCCTAACTTCCTATTATAAATAAACGTATTCTAATATTCAACTCCTGAACTCCCTTGGTAGTCAGATTGACTCTCCAACTCCATTTGTATGTTGCTGTTCTAAACAGTCGGCTTCATTACTATCTCTCCATATGCCAAGCTATTAGTACAGCCTCCTAACCGGACCTTGGACTGCTCGTAGTCTGCTATCCTCAGGCTGCGTTCAGCCTAATGAGGCTCGCTAATGGTCCACCCATGTCAATCTGGAGAAATCATTCTCCTCTATGCAAACTGGAACACATGTACACAGTTGCTCAGTACACTAACTCACACTTTCCACCATCATCAACATTTGCTTAGCTGATGTAAGGACACACATAAGAAAAGCACGAGTCAACTTTACGCAGTACGTCTGTTTTGTCATGCTCTATATTACACTCTGCATTCATCTTTCCCTTATCATTTATTTCCTACACCACTGCTGATTATATTCTTGTGTTTTAAACCTGTCTTGTTATAGTTCAGCTTGTTTTAAATCCCTATAATGTTGGCCCTTAAATAGCTGTATCTTACACTCTGCACTCATCTTTCCCTCAGCTT